TACATGCTGGCTCTTCAGGTTTCAGCCTGGCGTGCAGCGACAAGTCGGGTGTTGCTACAGGTAGGGAAGGTTTTCCCTGCGGCTGACGCGGTGGCGGCTCGACGGGAGCACGCTGGGCTCTGCGGCGCTTCGGAGGGCGGCGGGTCCGGAGCCTCGTTCCTCTCTTGGGCCTTGGCCACGGAGGCCACAGAAAAAGCTGCGTCAAGCCCTCAGTTGTGTTTGTTCGGTTCCTAATAGCTCAAGACAGAAACGCTTATTATAATGTTGTGTTGAAAATGTTCGTGTTTCCTTTCTGAGCTAAGAAATCTGCAGGTGTTTCCCTCTGAGGAGCTCCTGGGTGCCAGGCTGAGGGGACGACCCTTTTCCAGGCTGAGGGGAGCCCTCGTCCCTCTCTGCAGCTCCTGACAGGACATTGCAGAGAGGCCAGGGCTGGGCTCTGCTCCCAGGGGATCAGGGACAGGACAAGAGGGAACGGCTGGAAACTGCCCCAGGGGAGGGTCAGGCTGGGCAGGAGGAGAAAATGTTTCCCAGCAAGAGTGGTCCGAGAGTGGAACAGGCTGCCCAGGGAGGGGGGAGTCCCCATCCCTGGGGGAGTTTCAGGGCCGTTGGGATGAGCTGTGGGGCATGTGGGGTAGGGGAGAACTTTGCAGAGTCGGGCTGAGGGTTGGACTCGGTGATCCCGAGGGGCTTTTCCAACCGGAGTGGTTCTGGGAAAGGAAAAGCCAGGCCTGCGTGGGCTCTGTAAGGAGCACACGTGGCCTTGCAGGATTCCCCACCTACTTACTCGAGAGGTGCAGAAAACACCCGCTGTGCACAGGTGGATAATGTTGGAGGTAGCTGCTGCTTTCCTGCAAGCTCTGAGCTTTTATTCCTGAAGCGACCCACCAAGAAGGGAAGCAGGCTCGTTCCCCTCCCTTGCAGCAGCAGTTTGTTTGTTTGTTTTCCCCTTGCAGCCGCGGGATTGTGAAACGAGACCCTCTGAGCCGTTCCCCTCCATGTCATCCATCACCCGCCGGGCTGGGCTGGGCGACCCGCGCTCTGTCATCGCGCCGGCCCTTACACCGCTGTTCATTTGATCCCCGGTGGTGTTGTCGGCGCCTGCAACCCGGGCTGCTGAAAGGCAGCCGCCAGCCAGCCTGCCCAGTGCCCTTCGGTGTTGACAGGACATGTTTCGTCAGGTTTTAGTGGTCTGAAGAACGGTGCCGAGCCCCGGCAATGGCAGGTTGGAAAAAGATCGTTGAGTCCCAACTCCTCCCTGTCCCACTGGGAGGGAAAGCGTCGGGTCCCGAGGTGTGAGCGCAGGGCCCGTGCTGCCAGGTGCCTCCATATCACAAACAGCAATAAAACTCCTCCTGGCAGCCCCTGAGCCCTGGCAGAGCGTTCAGTTTGCTGCCCTGAGCTCCGTTTCCAGCCCGTGCTGCTGCACAAATCGCTCCGCTGGGTTTTTTCCGCTCTCTTTCCTCTCTGCCCGCGCCTGGGCAGGTCCCACCTTCCCCCTGGATGTTCTGTGGCACGTCCCTGCCTCCGATCTAGGTTTCCACTCCCAGACGAGAGCACTGGAAGGTGTTGTTTGCTGGATGCTCTGTTTCGAAGTTGTTTTTTTTTAAAAAAAAAAAAAAAGTCTATTATTAATTCCTTTTGAGAAATTAGAAAAAATTGGTGCTGGCAGGCTGGTGTGCGGGGCTGGTTGGCCGCTGTGAAATATTGCAGCCATAATCCTGGTGATCAACAGGAACCGTTTGTGAGCTGTCAAGTGCAGAACGTGTCGTCTTTGCCTGAGATTAAAAGTAGCTCAATGAAGAGCAGTGTTTAGGCTGAATTGGAAATCAGGCTTCGAAGCGTTTCTTGGACCCAGCTCAAGAGCCGCGTTCGATGTTTCTGGCGCTTTCAAAATGACGGGGCTGGCGGGGGGGGAGGGTGTGGATCTGGAGACACTTTGTTTTGTGCCTGAGCAAAGTGGGGGGATTGTTCTTGTGGATGCGGATTAAAATAGTGCAGGACGAGATTATCCTCCAGCTCAGGGATGGAAATAGGATGCAGTTCCTCAGCAACTGAGGTAGCTGAAAATGGAAAGCTCCACATCTGCTGTGGGCTGCGAGCAGGGGCTGGCATCCCCCCAGTAGCCCAGCAAGCATGAGAAGGGCGTGCCAGGAGTCCAGCCTAACATTAGAAGTCTGGCCTAACCTGGAAGACTTAGCATCCTCTAATTAGAGGGCTGAAGGCAGCGGGGAGCAGTGGGTGACTCCCCCAGGTCTGCAGCAGCTCGCCAGCTCAGCGCTTCAGAAGCGTCGGTGGTAGGGAATAAAACCTGAAGCACCAGTATAATGGGAAGGAGAAGCCTGCGGGAGGGGGAACAAAAAAGAAAAATACTTGAAAGACATCAGGGTGGTGCTAGAGCATGGGCTGGGCTGGAGCCGGATTGCAGCCTAGCAGAAAAAGCCAGACCTAGTCACGCCGGGTTCCCTGGTGGAAGCGGAGAGGGGGGGAAAATTGCAAGTGCCATGCGGGGCAGCTGGCAACGCTCCCGGCTGCTGGAAAAATCTGCACGGCCGGGAGAGGAAAAGTGCAGTTTGGGCCTGGGAAGCGCAAAGGGAGATTAGAGCGAGGTAAGCTGCACGTGGGAGAGGCCAGTGGCAGGAGCGAGGGCGTTGGGAGCGGGGACTGAACCAGACCGACCTGCGGAGCGTGAGGAGTACCTGTGCGAGCTGAGATGGGAGATCCTCGCCCTTGGGAAACGGGGCTAAGAAGCTGCCCTTCTCTAATTGCTGCTTCGGAGGAGTTGAGAGGTGGCCAGTAAAACCAGCCCCCCCCTCCTCCCCTCTGTGCCCCGGGTCAGTCCCGGGCTCCTGGTCGGGGACTTAGCGGTCAGGGTGAGGTTTATGGTTGGACTGGATGATCTTCAGGGTCTTTTCCAACCTGGATGATTCTGTGACTTCAAAGCTCACTCTCCAGTCTGCCTCTTCTCTGGGAAGCATTCCTGCATTGGTTGAGGAGGGTGGGGGGAATAGCAGGTTTCTTTTTGTGAATGCTCGACAAGTTGCGTTTGAGCGGTGTTCCACCCAAAGTGCGGCTGGGGTGAGGGTGCCGGCCTGGGGATGCAGCTCTCCCGTCCCCGTGGTGCCGGCAAACCCAGCCGTGCTCCCCTTGCAGGGCAGGCAGGGAGGAGAGGAGCCCTGAAAGCACTCAGAGGAGTTTCGGTTTGTTTTTTTTTCTTTTTTCCTAAAGTCTGGGTGGGTTTTCCTGCTATTTATAGAGCTGGGAGCCCTGGCCGACCAGCCTCCCCCCTCACATAACCCAGCGCTCCCCGCCGAAGCAGCCTCCGCTGAGGTTTGGCTCCGGCCGCGCCAGCCCGGGAGGGTGAGGAGGACCATATGTCCTTCGCCTGGAGCCAAGCGCGCAGCTGCGCTCCATTCGCCCGTCTGGTGCTGACTTGTTAACTCTTTGGGGGTGAAGGGGGGGAGTGGGGCTCACGCCATGCTTAGCGTGAGGAAAGGATGCTCCCGCGGGGCAGAAACCCGCCAGAAGTGGGTCTCTGAAGGGTTTGGCCTCCCGGGAGTTTCCTCAGCCCCGCTGCGACTGCCCCGGGTTTGTTCTGCCCGGTGTTACCCTCCTGAGTTAGGTGAGGAAACGGTCAGAGAACCGTATGTGTAATTCTGGGATGGCGAAGGGCTTTATCCAGATTATTAATAACTCGCTGTGCCTCGTGCCGCTCCGTGGCGGGAGCCAGGGCCCTCTGCTCCCAGGATGGCTCATTCCAGCCTCAGCACCAGCTCGCCGTCTGCTGCCTCTTGTCCTCGCCCCTCGCCCTCCCGGCACGTGGAGGAAAAACACTCTCCTGGGCGATCAGCTCGCCCCGACCCCGCGGCCCTGCGAGATCTCCTCCTCTGCGGTGGGCTCTCGCAGCGCGGCGGGTCCCTGCCTGTCGCCCTCGCCATCCTCTCGCTCCTGTCCCAGCTTTGGCTCCCTCAGGATCAGCCACCCCCTTTTACACCACGCTCGGGTGCTGCCTGCTCTAAAGGGTCCTTCCCCCCCACCTCTTCCTGCGGATTTACTCCACAGGTTTTCTTGTGTGAAATGTCACGGCAGAGATGTCCACGCAGAAACCTGGGTGTTTCCTCAAAAAAACAAAAAAAAGGTCACCGCTGGGACAGGGGTATATTGTTGGCATCTCCCTGCTGGAGCCACGCTCATTAGTTTGCCCTCAGACGTCTGGTCACTGGTACCGATTTGTGCTAATGACTATTTCCAGTTTAATGGAGCTGGCCATGGCCCTGGCTGGGGTCGGGTCCTGCAAAATCTGCAGCCCTGAAGCATCACCCGGATACCAAACACGGCCCAAATTTCTGTTTTCCCTCCTCGTGTTGTCCAGGACATTTTCCCAAAGGAAACCTGCCTTGCCAGGCTGCTGTTCCAGCCCCGGGTGAGGATGATGAAGATGTTTGTGAGGACTCAGAGGGGCCTCCTCGGGCCCTGCAAGCAGCTCTCAGGAGGTGCTTTGTGTGCTCTGGATGTCTTCTCTGAGCTCAATCCCCACGCCGAAGATTTTTTTTTTTTAATTTTAATCTACTTATTTTTTTCCATGGCAAAAGACGAACAAATCCAAGAAGACTTCGTGAGAAGAAAGCAGATTTTTAAGTGTGTTTCAGTTTGAGCGGGGAGCCGTGGCTCTGAGCAGGAAGCTTGCTGCAGCGCCTCAGCAATATGTCAAAATTACCCTGGCTCTGCGCGCACTTGGTGGAGCATCAACAGGCTGACGGCTACAGCGCTGCTCCGGTGACTCAGATAAATAACACGCAGACCAAAACATACATTGAGCCTGGCTTGGCCAGACTGGAAAATGCACTTTTGGAAGGTGCTTTTCCAGGCGGGGGTGGGGGGTGGCTCTGTACTGCCAGGACTGCTGATAGGGGAAAACCGCCGCGACCTTGGGTGCTTCAGACCCAGCCGCAACAGATGGGAGATAAAGAAACACTTGGGTTGCATTTGTTTGGTTTTTCTCCTGTTCAGGGAGTTTTTTTCACCCAGGATATTCCCAGTGGAAGCCTCTCCTACCTGCTTGCTGCCTGCTGATTCTCCCAGCTCAGGGGCATCGTGGGAGGGCTCCTGTCCTGCTCTGTGATGCTTAAATGTCCACGCTGGCCTCCCCCCAGCTCCCTTTTTTCTTGGGGCTGACCAAAAACCTCCAGTTCTGCACGCAGGGACAGCTGGGGAAGCTTTGGGACAGCTTAAACCTAACAAAAGAGGTGGGAATAATGTGGCAGGGAAGCGTGTGTGATAACCACGACAAAACAACTGCCACGGTGAACGTGGGGGGGCACGGAACAGGGCTTTGGACACCTGCTTGTTTATAAAAATGAAGAAAAATCCCGACGTGTTGGTGATGGCCATGGCCTTGGCGGTGACGGGGAGGTACAAACGCCTCCTGCGCTCTGGTTTTGGCAAGCGGCGGGTCTGTTTGTGCCGCCTGGGCACCGCAGCAGATGGTGCCCAGCGTGCCAGGGGTCCTGGCTCTCCCTCTGCCCCGGAGGGTCTAGTGGAAGCCCAAATCAGGAAGCCAGGCTTGGCCAGCATCCCCTGCCCCCTGGGAGCCCCTCGGTTGCCTGCGGCAGGACGTGTGGGTGGCCGCGGGGCCGCAGGCCTGCGCGGAGGTTGGGGTGCTGGCAGTGGCCAGGGCTGCTCCGACGGGGTTGTGCTGAGAGCTGCTGCCTGTGTCCCTCCCCGCGCGCCCCAAAATCCCATCCTCTGCCAGACGCTGGGGGAGAACCCCTTCGTGTCCCAAAGAGCTGCAAAGCTCGGCCGAGAGCCGGCCCGGCGGGAGCAAGGCCTCTTTGCAGCCGGATTAGTGAGGAGCTGGAGTTTTGGGGAGGAAGAGGAAGTTTTTTATTTATTTAAAAAAAACCCAAATAAAACATTGCAAACGCCTTCCCTCCTCTCTCCTGCTGCTCCTCCAGCTAAACTGTTCTCCGCGGAGGCCGGGACGGAGCTGCAGGACCAGCGCAGGCACCTCGCTCCCTTTCCTGCTGCCGCAGCATTGCCAGGTTCATGGGTGGAACGTCCTCTTGGGTGAGCCTCGCAGTGCGTTCTAGCCACCTTTCCAGGCAGCTGTGCCGTTTCCAGGGCTTTGAGGATTCCTTTGGCGTGCTTTATATGTTTTCCCTGTGCAGACAAGAGTCCTCTTTCTCTCCACCCTGCCCCATGAGCACAGACCACTCCAAAAGCCTATTTAGAGTTGGTCCATATATTAATTTTCATACCCTTGGCCATCTCCAGTGCCCAAGTTCAAGCTATTATTTCTATTTTTTTGTGCTGAGGTATTTGGAGGAAGGACTTTAGACTCTATTACCCGATCTTCGGTGGTTGTCACGTATCCTTCCTTGCGGATACCTTGTCGGACAAAACTGCTCCTGTCTCTGTACCAGGATTCATCAGCTTCCTCTCATGGCTCCTTGAGGTCTGGAATAAACTCCTTCAGTCGTTTCCAGGCAGTTGTGTGTCACTGGTTCTCCTGTGGCTCCACTAAGAAAAGAGCTGGGTCGACAATATTTTTATATCATCCTGTTCCACTAGGAGAGCTTGGTGCTTGAGGTCCCTTTGGGTGGGCCCCAGCACCCATCCTGCCTCTCTGGGTTCTGTACGTAAGCTGCGACCCCCAGCAGCCCCTCACACCTCCCGGGTCCTTGAGCTCCGGGCTCTGCCTGCACAAACGCCGGGGCTGGCAGCCAGAGGAGAGGCAGGGAAGGAGGCAGAGCTCCCCCCATCCCAGCGTTCCGTGCCTTTGCGCTTGCTTTGCAGCTCTCTTCCCCTTCCCGCCAGCCCTGTGACTCCCCTGCCAGGCTCGAGCCCTCGACAAAAAATCTCTTTGACCTGGCACGCCTGAAGTTTCCATGCTCAGTTCAGAGACGGTTTTTGCTTCTCCGCAGATACCAACGGCCGCTTGGTGCCGCGGCCCGAGGCAGCAGGCAGCCCGAGGACCTTGCTGCTCTTCTTTTCTCTCTTTTTTTCCCTTTTTTCTTCGCTGTGTTAAAGCTGTGCCGCTCCTGGGGACCCAAGAGCGTCAGTACACAAGAGCTGGGCACCTTTGTTATCGGGGGTGTTGTGCGACAGCTGTCGTGTCCTCGGTACTCATCCATGCTTTGGATTTCTCCCCAAAACAGGAATAATCTGCTCGGCCCCTAGACCAGGCTGCGTTTAGTGAGTAACGAGGGATCTCCCGGGCAATGGGAGCTGCCGGGACGCGGCCGTCACCTGGGTGGAGGCAAAAAGACCCGGCTCTGCCAGGGGTGTTGCTCGTTCTCGCGGCCTTGCAGGGACTCCTGGTGTCTCTGAGAGGTCGTCTAATTTCTTTTCATGTCCTTAAAGTAAGATCAGACGTACCTGGACCAGCTGTGATGGTAGCTGTTCCCTGAAAATTTCAGGGAGAGGGTTGTCCCCCTGCAAAGGGTGTCAGTTCCCATCGTCACTAGTGGTCTCCCTGACCTCACCCCCCCCATCCAAATCCAATTGCTGCTGCTGCAAAAAAACTCCCACCCACCCCCTCTTTTATCCTCAAGGACAAAAGGCTGATTTTTCCCCAGCCCCCCTGTACCTAAAGGGCTCTTGTGTGGGGCCCTCACCCACCTTGAGACCAAACCTTCTGCCAATCACCCCAAGACATGGGTGTTTTCCAGCCCCGGGAGATGCTCCCCAGTTCCTCCCCCTGCCCCAGTGCTGCACTGGAACTGGATTCAGCTTAGCTCCAGATAAAGCTTTAACCCGGGGAGAGTAAAACATACAGCTGGGACGTCGTTACGTGGCATTTGGATGGTTTTCAGCAGCCTTGTGCTGGCCTTAATCCATAGTTTGCTATTCCATAGGATTTCCATGTTGAATTATTTCTCCCTGTTGGAATTCTTTTCCCTGTTGAATCGTCGATCTGTCTGTGTGTCCTTCCCTCCCTCTGCTCCCAGGGACCTTTCAGAAATTGAGGTTTGGGACTCTCTTGAGGTTTGTCTTGCTTCCAGCCACGCCGCTGGGACTCGGAATGCCTGTTTTAGAAAAAGGCAGCTTTTGTGTCACCAACCAACAGGCTTTTGCGAAATGCCCTCTGAAAATAAAAGAGATTACGGCCGAGATAAAGGGACACGGACTGGTGAGGGAGTCTTCCACCAGAAAATTCAGTATTTTGGGTAGGGAGCAATGTGCTGCTGGGGTGTTGGTGTGTTGCCTGGAGTGATAACCCAGCTGTGTTTTTTTGGTGTATTTTGTGGCAGATTTAAAATAAATGGGGTGGATAGATGGGGTTTGGGGTGCCGGTGCCTGTCCAAGCCCTGTTCATAACTTCTCCAGGAGCTGCTGGTCACCTCATCCCTTGTTTTAAGTCCAGATCAAATACATTCAGACCATCCCTGATGGGTCAAAACCATGAAAAAGAAACGCTGCTGCTGCCAGCACTCTCGAGGAGGGAAGGGGAGTCGAGAATAACGCCATGCCTTGCAAAAAAGCAGCTTTTTGTGCTGGAAGCCTGAGCTACCACCCCTCAGCGTGGCCAGTGGCGACTGTCCACCCAGGAGTCAGGTGGCTGGGGTGAGCTGGGGACCCCCCAGCAGCTCCCTCAGCCCCTGTTTTTCCTTCACAGAGTCAGTAATGATGAATGGCTCCGACCTCGCCAGCACGACGGCATCCAGTCCCACGTCCAAAGAGGACCAAGTAGTGAACGGCCACGATGAGAAGGAAAACAACCCCTTTGCAGAGTACATGTGGATGGAGAACGAAGAAGATTTCAACAGACAGGTAGGACCAGGAAAGGGGGGTTGCCAGCTCCGTGTTTCTGCAGCTGGAATGAGGGGAGGGAAAGGTTTCCCCGGATGGGCACCACGGGGCAGGGGGGTGAGGCACGGCCGGCGCAGGCCCTGCGAGGAGATGGCGGCTCGAGGGAATAGTCATCCTGTTTATATTGGAGCTGCCTGTAGTGACGTGGGGTGGATAAAGTCAGAAAATAAAAAACAAACCTCACCATGCCTCTGGCCCTCTTGGATCCTTCTCAGGAGGACAGGGAGGGTGCTGCCATCTCCTGAGCTTTCCCTTTCTGCACATTCAGCTGCAGGGAGGGGACCAGCCTAAAACTCAGCGCTGAAATGTGCGTAGCCTGGCTAGCTCAAACCTTGCATTTCGGGTCAAACTTTCCCCAAAACACTTGGCGCAGCCTCAGTAGGAGCCTTGGCCACCAGATGCTGTGTCTATAGGGGCCAGATGAGCTCCTGAAAGCTCCTGGTGGGACTTGAATGGCTCTTGCCTGTGGAATAATGATGCGGCCCGGCGAGCTGGAGCAGAGGGACCAGCCGCGCCGCGTCCTCCTCGTGCTTCTGCTTTGGATTTTCAGCCAAACACAGCACAAGGCGGTGGGGAGGAGCTTGCTGGGGGCTCGCTGCTCCCTCCCACCGTCATCCCAGTAGCTGGGGAGAAGTCAGACACCTCGAACTGGGCAGGGAAGGAGCTTGCACCTTCAGCTGGCTGCGCTGAGCGACGGGGCAGAAAACCTGAAGTCTCCTTGGGTGCTTGACCCCTACCTGCAACATCCGCCCGTCAGATCCCCAGCGCCGGGGTATCGGGAGGCAGGAGGGGCCGCCGGAGCCGCGGGCAGGCTGGGCAGAGAGGGATTTCACACCCCCACCGCGCCCCTGCTCACCAAGGGAGGATTTCGTCAGCTTTCCTGGTGTTCTCAGCAGAAAATCTCCCATGTGGGAACACTTAAATCTTGTTCGCACCGGAGGAGACTGCAGCCGTTCGCGCTCCCCGACAGTAACTCTGGGTGAGCGTGGCCTCGCGCCGCCTCACGGGAGCGAGCCGTGACTCACAGCTTTTGTTTTATTTAATGACCTGACTCCCAGCCCCCCCCCCCAGCAGCTGCGCCGATGGAAACGTGCAAGATTAATTAGTTAATGTTTGTAAAGCGCCGTCTTGATTAAAAGCCTGACAAAGGCAAAGTGCAAAGCAAACCATAGCACAGCTCCGGGCCCAAGGGAGCGTCCCAGGGCGGACGGAGATGGAGGAGGGAGGAAAATGGAGCCGAGACCTCAGGGCTTGGCGTTGCCAAGATACTCCCCTGTGTTTTCCTGGGCTGCCAGCCCTCGTTTCTGCCCTTCCGAGCACTTGGCCGTGCCCTGGGGAGCGCAGCCTCTCACCCAGCTCCCTGTGAAACGCTGCTCGGGGGAAAATGGTTCATGCGGAAGATGGAGTCCCACTCTGAAGGCAGGGAGCTCTGGGTCTGTGGGAAGGCAGCGCTCCTGGCCTGAGCCGTCCCCGGGCTGGGGATGCTGCACCTCGAGTCTCCGGTCTGGCTCTGTCCTGCTCCCCGGCCGGGGTCACTCCTGGGAGCCCCTGAGATGCCGCCGGGGGGGCAGCAGGCACGTCCCTTTCAGTGGCACTCGTGGCTTCTGCCACCTTTCCCTGCCAGACCCCAGTGGCTCAGGGCTGCCGTAAGACCTTGGCCTGAATCTTCCTGCGCTTGTTCTTCCCTCTTCCTCAGCTTTCTGAAGCCACGCTGTTTCCTTGCCTCCTCCACAAAGGTTTTCTGCCGTCCAGGCCCTGACAAGGGGAACAAACAAGTGTCTTTCAGGAACCCACAAGCTTCTTGGCACAGTCCTCCCTTATTTATGCAAGCGACCTACCTTTTCCCACAGAGCCAGCACATCCCGGAGGGCAAAAAGGGAGTGGTGGGCTCTTGTGTGAGATGAAACTGTGCTGACATCAGGCGAGGCTGGGGCAGAACCCGAGGTGGGAGGTGACAGAGCTGCATTAAATACCCCAGGAGGCCAAAGAAGAGCCCTGAGCAAATACTGAACCCTTTCTCTCCTAGTTCAGGCTGTCACGATACGCTGCAGAGGAGCTGCAGGCGCTGGGAAGGCTCTGCTCTGGGAAGGGAAACTGCAGAGTCCTCGTTGGAGAGGGAATATTCGCTCCGGGCTCACTCCCTTGGTGGCCTGTAGAAGCGCAGGGTCCCAGGGCTGTCATCATTGGGGTGAGCCAGCACTCCTGGCGTGGTTTTTTTTTTAATATCCTCTTTTAACACGCTAGTACCAGTGCGTAGTTTCAAGCATAGCATCTGGAAACCCATCTGAGGACAGCGATGGCGTGTTTTTACTAGCAGTAAAGGGGATTTTCCCCTGGCCAGACCTGATTTCTAAGGCTGGTGGTGAGAGGCAGCGCCCAAAGCTCGGTTACTGTGAGAGAGCGTTTAACAGTCACAGAATGGTTTGGGTTGGAAGGGACCTTCAAGGTCATCTAGTCCTAAAAGTCACCTCGCAGGGAGTTTTCTGGGCTGTGAGTTAATTTAAATGTCCCTCCCCGAGCTGGGGGCTGGCTGGGAATAACCTGAAGGTTGGTTGCACTCCGGGTTTACTGGGCTCCCCTTCCCAAATTGTTTGGGATTCGTTTGGCAGGGGCTGCCTGCCCGTCCCAGCGGTACAGGGCATGGCAGCTTGCAGAGCTCCCCTTTCCCCCCTCCAGGCCGCCAGTTTTTGGTCATAGTTTCTGCTTTCTTGTAAAATGGAAGGATTTGAGCTTGTCGGAGCGTTTTGTGGTTCGTGGATTCACTCAGCCCTCCTGGATTCAATCCCAGCTGCTCACAGTCGTGCTGTTTTCTGGCTGTCGCCCCATCTGCTCGTTTTTTGGCCACCACGTGCCTGTCGAGCAGGAGGCAGCGGCGCGGGGCTGCCCAGACTCAGCCCCCCCGAGAAAGCCGCCCTGGAAGGGGGGAGCAGCGGGTGAACATGACCTGATGATGCTACAGGGTAAGGCTGGGACCGCCGGCGCCCCGTCTCCTGCCTGGCTCTGCCTGCACACCCCTGCCCGAGGAGCTTTCTGCCCCGGCCAAGCTCCGTGGCTTCCCTCGGCCTCGGGAGGAGTTTTCCAGCAGCGGAGAGACAGTGTCATCCCCGGGAGCCGACTGCCACCCTGCGTCGGTGCGTGCAGAGCGCTGGGGGGCTGAGGGGAGCCGGCTTAACCGACCCCAGGAGCACGGGAAGGGTGAGCAGAGCTGGTTTAACTGACCCCAGGAGCACGGGAAGGGTGAGCAGAGCTGGTTTAACCAACCCCAGAAGCACGAGAAGGGTGAGCAGAGCTGGTTTAACAAACCCCAGAAGCACGGGAAGGGTGAGCAGAGCTGGTTTAACCAACCCCAGAAGCACAGGAAGGGTGAGCAGAGCTGGTTTAACTGACCCCAGAAGCACGGGAAGGGTGAGCAGAGCTGGTTTAACCAACCCCAGGAGCACGGGAAGGGTGAGCAGAGCTGGTTTAACCAACCCCAGAAGCACGAGAAGGGTGAGCAGAGCTGGTTTAACTGACCCCAGAAGCACGAGAAGGGTGAGCAGAGCTGGTTTAACCAACCCCAGAAGCACGGGAAGGGTGAGCAGAGCTGGTTTAACCGACCCCAGGAGCACGGGAAGGGTGAGCAGAGCTGCAGCGCCGCTCTGCAGCAGAGGATCCGCGCGCTTCCCCGTTAAGATTTTATGAGCCGTCCCGTGCGTTTTGCAGTGAGCTCGGCTGGAGCCTGGCAGCCTCAAATCCCCTGCGTGTGTCCAGATGTCCCCTAAATCCCATCCCCTTCTCTTCTGGATTCACCTGGTAAATCCCATCCCCTTCCCTCCTGCACCCAGACCCGGCAGGCTGCAGCGGCCGGGAGCGATGCCTGAGCTCCGCTCAAAGGGGCCAGTTCTTGTGCTCCTGGGGCTGCCTCTAGGCAAGACTACGAATCTAGGTTTAAAATCTAACTCCGTCCATCCTGTGACGTTTGTGAGGCACAGACGGGTGCTGAGGTGAGGTAGCAAGCACATTTCAAACTCTTTCCCCAGGTGGGGCCGACGTAGGGAAACCCCCGACCTACCTGTGACTAACGTGTCTCTCTGGGCAGGTGGAGGAGGAGCTGCAGGAGCAGGAGTTTCTCGACCGCTGCTTCCAGGAGATGCTGGAGGAGGAAGACCAGGACTGGTTCATTCCATCACGTGACCTGCCCCAGGGCATGGGGCAGCTGCAGCAGCAGCTCAACGGGCTCTCGGTTGGCGACAGCCACGGGTCCGAGGACATTCTGGTAAGCGAAGGTGCCGCCAGGTCGGGCAGAGAGCCAGGGGCCTGTCCAGTGAAAGGGGGGGGCAGCGGGGTGTTGGTGCAAGAGCTGGTGCTGATGCACCAGCAATGAGGCTTATGGGGGGGTTTCTGTGAGGATATTTATTTTAGCTACATATCCTAAAGGCAAAAATAGCCAGTTTTGTGCAGCTTGCTCTCCAGAAGCCGTGGGAAGGGTGGGCAGAGCCAGTTTAACCAACACCAGAAGCACACGAAGGGTGGGCAGAGCTGGTTTAACCAATGCCAGAAGCATGAGAAGGGTGGGCACAGCTGGTTTAACCAACCTGAGAAGCACTGGAAGAGTGGGTGGAGCTGGTTTAACCAACCCCAGAAGCACGGGAAGGGTGAGCAGAGCTGGTTTAACCAACCTGAGGAGCAAGATTTGCTTGCACCCAGCAAGCTGGGACCTTCATGGTCTTTTGGGCAGCAGGCTGGAGAGGTCCGGGGGGGCCTCACCAGGTCTGCTGAGCACCCCCAGCCTGGATGGATTAATTCCAAGCAGTGACAGCCGGCAGGGTGACAGGCAGAGCAGCAGTGTTAGGGCGAGGCCTGTTTTCATCCTTGAAAGCCAGAATACGCCACGGGATCATATGGACCAGCACGGAGGGGGCTTGTTCTGGCCCAGCCCTGCTGAGCTGAGCTCAGGCTGAGCTGCTTTACCCCCCACACTACCCTGGGTGGGGATAAACCAGCCCCTCTCACCACGCATCCACCCCGCACCAAAGCACGGAGAGACAGAAACGGCAGCTTCCGCCATGTTTCCCCCCAAAAACACCCCAGGCCCACCCCGTCCCCTCTTCTCTTCCAGAGCAAAAGCAACTTGAATCCGGATGCCAAGGAGTTTGTGCCCGGCGTGAAGTACTGACCCCCGAGGCGGGCTCCGAAAGACTGTGTCCCCACGCCGGGGGGGACGGAGGGAGGGGGTCGGCCCCCAGCTGGACTCTGCACCAGAGCAGAGTTGCTGCAACGTGGCAAAATCTTGCTCTACGCTTCAAGTACCTTTTTTTTTTTCCTTTTTTCCTCTCCTATTCCTTTTTTCTGTTTTTTTTTTCCTTTTTTTTAAATTCTTTTGTACTGTCTTCCCACCTCCTTTTGGCAGTTTTTGCTTTCTAGGACTCGCAGCCCTTAAGCCTGTCCTAGAGTCCAACACTCCCCCCACCCCCTGCCAGCTTCAGAGGCCCATTTTGATGCGCGCTTCAAACCTGCTTAGTGGAAAAGTCATGTTTTCTTGTTTAAGTAGAATCTGTAGGGATCCCCCTGCCCGCCTGCTCCCTCCCCAGAGGCAGCGAGCCCGGGCCAGGAGCCGCGCTGGCGCTCCCCGTTTCCCTTCGACAGGATTTCTTTCGCTAAAGGAAAGGTGAAGTGTAACAAGACTGTAAACCCCGAAGTTCCTCCAAGCAGCAGCTCTCGGCGAGGTGCTGAACGCTCGCTCCTCTGCGGGTAGACCAGGGTCCTGCCCGCTTCAGCGCTCTGCGTGGAGACGGGGCCCGTCAGGCAGCACCGCAGCCGTCCGAGGGAAGGGCTGCTCCTACAAACCCAACTTCTCCTTAAAGAATTCTTCCCCCCGCAACTCCTGAGCTTATCCAGCGCTACGGGCTGCGGCTGCGAGGCACCTGTACCTTCCTTTCTCACTGAAACAAACCCTGAGAAAAAGGGAATAGAGCCCCTTGTGCGGCCCACGGCGGGGAGTCGGTGTGGCGCAGCCTCCCTGGGCGGAGGATCCTCCGTCGGGATGAGCCTGACCCCGAGGAGCACCCGCAGACCGAGCAGGTGACGGGCAGCGTCTTCGTGCGCAGGGCCCTTTGCCGAGGCTCCGGCGACGGGTGGCGAGATCGGGGCCTCCGCCGGGTGAACTCGCGCTTGGGAACCTCCAGCCCCATCGACGGGAGGTGGTTGGGCTTCAGCTCCTTAAACCCCAACCCTGGGCACTTCTGGTGTTTTAAACCCAGCGCAGAAATCTGCCCCCCTGAGAAAGCGGGAGCTGCTGGGCGAGGTGTCCAGCCTAACACTGAAACCAGCTGCCGCCTCTCGTAGCGTGGACAGGAGCGTTCGCTCCCTCCCGCCGGTAGATCTCACCTCCCCGCTGCACTTACTGCCAGGATTCCCGGTTAATTAAACAAGGAGTTAATGGCGAGGGAGTGCGGAGCCCGCGGGGTTTGTGTGGAGGTGGGAGCTGAGGCCTGGCTGAGCTCGGCGCGGCCGCGGGGGGTTGTTGGACCAGGAACACTGATGGCGCGGGGGGGGTTGAGCTGCTCCGTAACTCAGCAGATCTCCCGGCTCTGGCTGCCCAGCTTAAAACCAGCACTAAACCCGCACGCTACCGCAGCTAGAGCCGGCAGCCTGTTGAAGGTGCCTGGCTTAAGTATTCCTGCTCAGAGATAAGGCTTGGTTTGGGTTGAATTCTCCTGTTTTCTGGTACGAGCCGTGCTCAGGCTTTGCAGGATGTAACCCGGGACATGGGGAAGGGCAAAATTCTGTAGCAGTAGCACAGTTTCCCCCCTCCCTGCCCTTTCTCTGGTTTCTATTTGATTTCTTACCACAAAAAAGCCCCAACAAACCAACCACCCCCGCCCTCTGACATGCTGTAAATTTCAGACAATGCATTATTAAAAATAAACTTTTTTTGGAACTGAGCGGTGCTTTAAGCTCAGAGGCAGGATTTTCCTCCTTCACCCCTTCCCTCCCCACCCCGGCTCTGCTGGCTTCCAGCCTCCTCACCCCCGGGGTAGAGCTTGGCCAGGCAGAGCCTGAAAAGGCTGGACTTTAGGCCTGGTCAGGACCTCAGCCCTTGGAAAACCAAAGTTAAAAAATAAAAAAATTCGGAAGGCAGAGGAGAAGATTCCCAGCGCCAAGGCCCGGCCCAGGGCTTGTGCTTCCCAACCAATCTGTGTGCAAGAGGCAGCCATTGGGTTTGTGCTTTAGGTCAGGCTTAGCCCCTTCCTTGCTGCTTGTTCCAAACAAAAAGAACTTGGACGGGGCTTTGGGCAACCTGGGCCAGCAGAAGGTGTCCCCATGGCAGGGGGGTGGGATAGGAAGGGTGTGACTACCAAACACCAAACTTCCAACACTCTCCAGAGCCTTCATGAAATATTCTTTAACCCTTTTAAATGAAGAGCAGCCCCAGGAAAGCCTGAACCCAGCACCGCCGAGTCCTTCCTGGCTCCAACGTCACCGGCACTCCCCAGCGCTGGGGCTGAACCTCGCCCTGGGCAAGCCCAAAGCCTCCTCCTCCTCTGCTTCCTCCTCCTTCCTCCTCCTCCTCTCCTTCCCCCTCCCAGCAGCTCCCCCCTCCTGTCCTGCATAGTCCCAGCTGCCCCCCCAGGCCCTCTCCCGCAGGCTCAGCCTCTTCACCCACCGGAACAGGAACCTTCAAGCTCCATTTTTCTTCATTTTCCAGCAGTGCCGGGGGCCACTTCCCCTCCCCGTGGCCACCGAGCCACGTTCCTGGCCCCGCT